GGCCCCACCTGTTCTCTCAGGGTCAGGGGCACTGCGTAATATATAACAATAACCCAGCGACTATCCTAAATTCTCTTGGAAAACCTTGACTAATTAAAGTTTGCTTCACTTCTCAGAATCACGGGACACTTTGTTCCTCTAGTTTAACAGAAGTCGACAGTTACAAATGTGCTGCTGATGGCCACAGAGAGACTGGGTCAGAAGGCAGAGACACAGTCATCCTCAAACCACTTGGAATTTAGAACACTGCCTCCGGTCACGGGACAGCTCCCTAACCAAATAAGAAGCTGGGTCCTTGGTGGCAAAGTTGGCAGGCTGGTAAGGATTTTACAGTTCTAGCATCAAAGAGAAGAAGCTCTGCCAACAGACTACACTATCTTCTTATCGAAAGTGCCAGGACAAAGCCCCAGCCTGAGCATCTCTAGGAGTGGAGATGCACGTCTGTTTTTCCCGTGCTGCCTGTCTTTCTGGATCATGAGCCTCCAGAGAACCTAATAAGGAAGGGCCACACCTCGGCCATTCCAATCTAGTGAAAATCGATTCTATTTTTAAGAAACCCAAGAGAAAGACTCTGGAATCTACCCTATTAACGGCTCCCAGGGTTTCATCTACTGACCTTCACTGTCAGGAAATTTTCTCAGTCTTATTTAAATTATTCTCATGGCCCTTAAAGCATATCTCCCTTTCTGTGCTTTCAAAATGCTTTCTATACATGTATTCAGATCAGAGAAAGACGAAGAAAGTAACTTTAAGAAACTAGCCTTATGAAAACAAGACTGGAGAAGTTGAATTTAATTCAAAACATGCATGGCATCCACTTAACTGCCCAGAGAAGTCTCAGCAGAGGCTGACTGAGAGGTACCTATGATGGCAGCCTCTCGTTCTAACACAGGCTTTCTGAGTACAATTCTAATCAGTTGAAACAATTTTTGTCATGCAAGTTGGCTCTGCCTGACAGTGCAAAAGGTACTGTCTCCAGGTGGGATAGAAGGCTGATGTGGCTGGACAACCTGCCACCTAGGGATGACCAAGGTTGAAGGTCTGGTTTCTAACTGGATGCTTCTATCGTCATTCCAGCTACCCTTATGTGAAAGTGGAAGATCTCAGGCATCATCACCTGAGAAAGACCTGGCTGTGGGACCTGCCTGGGACCTTTCCTGAGCCAGGGACCTGCCTGTGGGTTTCGAGATGAGCCTTTTGAATATTAAATCCTAGTATTCACACTCTCAACCTCTGCCCTTTCCCCTGGAAGGGTAATGAGGGATTACCCAGGCAATCAGAGGTTGGGGAGCATAGATACCACTCCGTAACCTCCAAGGGATTTCTAGGAAGCACTAAAATGCTGGGACAATGGCCATGCCCAGTGGAGGGAATCACACCATCACCGTGATCAGGCCACACTGATACAGGACAAAATCTCTGTGGCAGTCTGGTGACCAGCATCCTTCTGGTGAGAAGCAGCTCTTGACTTAGTGAAGTATTAAACTCCTTGGGAGATAATTGTTGATTCCAAGTCAGTTTACTCTTCTAACATTCATGCTGTTGAAGTTTTCCCGCTTCTGCAGGTCTGAGGTAGAGTCTTCAAAGAATCTCTTGCCCTAATGGTGGCTGAAACTAGACGTCCACATCTGCCAGTACTCATTACTGCCTGCCAGTCAGTGCCTCTGTGTAAGTTGGTTTGCTCTCTGTGTCAGCACGTTTCCTCTACCCTCTCCTCTCCCTATTATAAATCTGGTGTCAGGGAAACACAGGGAACAGCCACCTCTCCGCATCTCTAAAACTGAGCCAGGCATAGGGTGGGGTACGGGGAGACAAGGTGTTCGTGACACAGCCTCCACCCTCATACTCTTGGTGGTTCCAGGAAATGCCAACAAGTGAACAGTGATGGTGAATCATGACAGTGAGTAGTAACAGTGCTGTCGCCTGGGGACAGGGGCAGTGAAGGCCCAGAGGAAGCAGGGCAGGTAGAGAGGAGGACCAGGGAAAGTCCTGGTGGGAAAAGTGTCTTCTAAGCTGTGAATTCATGAAGGCTTAAGGGAAAGGAGTCAGGTACCCTGGTGGGGGCGGAAGGAGAAAGTTCTCGGAAGAAGGAACAATATGTGCAACATTTCTCAAAGGGAATGGGATGACCCAGAAATTCCACTCTTGGGCATCTATCCAAAGAATGTGACACCATCAACCCCAAAAATTATGTACTCAACAATGTTTATTGGAGCATTATTTATAAGCTAGGACATGGAAACAACTTAAATGCTCAGAGGGAATTTGTTCGAGAAGTGGTGCAGTCTACATAATGGAATACTATTCAGCCATAAGAAAAGATGAAATGCTGCCATTTTTAGCAAAATAGGAGTTCTAGGGAATTTGTGTAGTTAGCAAGTCAGGATGACAAAGACAGATGTTGGACATTTCTATAACAGACGACTCAACAAAATAACTATAAAAACTAACAGATGCTAATAAATGAAGTGAGGTTTCTGAGCTTAAGAGGGAGAAAGAGCCACAGAGATACAGGGGATGGTGGTGGAAAAAAATACTTAAAAGAGAAAAAATAATAAAAGAAAAAGGGATGGGAAAAGAATGAGCTTCTCTTGTTGGGTCTATTATATTTTCTTGATTGCAAAGGGTTGAGGATGACCTTTCCAAAACTGTGCATATCAGCAATTAAATATCTTTTCTGTGACTCAAGGCCATTTCAGATGTCCCCCTTCATATTTTCCCAGGCGGGCTGTCCAACAAAGCATAATTTCACTGCCACTTGAGGTCTCGTTTCCTGTTTCAGAGGGCGGTTGTTTTCTAAATCTCTAAGCCTCAATATTTAAAAAAGGCATCTAAGACACAGCAGACCACTCACCTATGAGCTTGTGCTAATTCTTAACGACTTAAAGCTCCAAATACTCTGTTAGTTCATGATGCTGCCAACTTCAGCACTCTTACTCATATTAATGTCTCCCCTGCCACTACCTCACCCCCCAAATCCAAATCACACATAAGACTACAGGCCTTTGAATCCAGCTTAATCAGGTCATAATACAAATTGTAGGAGAGCCCTACACATGAATAAATTAATCACAACACTTACTTGTAAGTAGAAAAACTGTAAGAAAATAAATAACCCTTAAATGTTTCCAAATGGGTGAATGATTAGATAATGGTATATCATTTATAGAATTCATGTAGCTATTGGCAAAAATGACAATTTAGTTACTTTGCAAATGCTAGTGAAAGACAATGTCAGTGGAAAATAAAACAAAAAGAATTATACATATGTTATGATTATAACCACGTAAGATATAAAAATGTGGAAAATGCTGGAAAGAGATCCACAGAAATGAGAATAGTGGTTGGATTAATGTATGTGATTATGAGCTTTTCCCTATTTTCTCTGTTCTCTCCACTGCATTTACAGATGCCTTTACAGTTAAAGTCTATAAAAAGTGTTGACTCTCCAAGTTAGCAATTTGAGCATTTTCAAGCCCAAGTAGCAGGTACAAGAAAACAAGATGAGAGTTTATGCATGTGGCTGCTCCCACTGAAAGAGTGTCATCTTCCCCAGCAAATGAACACGGAAGCTTTGCTCAAACAATCCACAAGCTATTTCTTGGTGTGACAAAAGATGGGTAAGGAAGAACATTGCCCTTTCAATTGATAAACATTTGAGGAAACCAGGCAAATGAAGTCATAAAAGTTGGAATTGGACAGCAAATATGGGACTGTTAAATTTTTTAAATCAAGTTTGAAAAGTTCACCATTCTTTTGGGCTCTGAGTGAAAATATGACCCTTTCAATAGTCACTTGAACCAGAACAGGGTCTATGATTCTAATGACTTCTCTGACACCATCGTGCCCTCAGTTTGGAGATGGATTTCCCATGTTTCAGTTTCTCTTAAAGTTCAACTGTTATGGGCATGTTGGGATAGAGGATGGAGCGTGGGGGTTACTCAACCCTTAGAGGGAAGACAGAGTAGAGGGAAAGCTTCCTTTTCTCTATGGCTATGAAAACTTAACTTGAAAAAAAAAAAATACATTAAGGGCCTCCCCGGTGGCACAAAGGGTTAAGACGCAACCTATGAAGCTATCCGCAGCCAATGCAACACAAGTTCAATCCCCGGCCAGGGAGATGCCTGCATGCTGCAGCAGACCTCTCCTGACTCGCCCACTGCTCCCCTCAGCAGTGTATTTCAGTGGATCCGCCTGTTCTGCTCCCCACTCTGTCTCTGGTGAATGCTCTCCTCCCCCCACACCTCTGGGCTGTACCCCAGTTCTTATATGCATAAACAAATGGATCTTTAAAAAATACATTAAATTGTTTCTATGGCTCTCTGAGCAAGCAAGATAAAATCAGTTTTATTGGAGGGCCTCCCCGGTGGCGCAGCGGTTGAGCGCTGGGTTGCGAAGCTGCCCGCGGCCTCTGCGGTGCAGGTTCGATCCCCGGCTGCTCCCCGGCCACCACAGGAGGGTCCCACATGGCGCGCAGACCTCTCCTGCCGCCCGCTGCTCCCCTCAGCAGTGTGCTTCGGTCCTTCTGCCTGCTCTGCTCCCCGCTCTGGCTCTGGTGAATTCTCTCACCCTCCCGCGCTTCTGACTGTACCCAGTGCTTGTATAAATAAATGAATGAATAAATAAATAAATTTAAAAAAAAAAAAAATCAGTTTTATTGGAGCAAGAGTTATTTAGGTTAAATTATAGTTAACTCCTTCCAAGCAAAAAGAATAGCTAATGACAGCTGTGGAATTTCCTTCTCTAGAGATTTGCAACAATAGGTTAGATATACATCTGGCCTTGAATGTCTTAGGCGTGGTATACTAAGGAGAATGAACAAAAATAACCTACAGACACACAGAAATACCATGGTGTGTCCTAGGCCTCTTCTCAAAAAATTTTGATAGATAAAACTTTGAAAACAGTTTTCATTTCCCGTCCCTCTCCTCCCTCTTTGGCAGAATCAAAGCCTGAACCACATCACAAAAAATTCAGAAAGTCAATGAAAAGTCACTTACCTGTACGAGGAGTTCCAGCTTCCTGTCATCAAGAAGATGTACTTGACATCGACGGCCCTCCGTCATCTAAGAAGAAAGAGAAATTATGGTCATTGAGAGTCCAGTAGCATGACCAGTGGTGAGGGGTACTCCTGGGCAGACTCCACTAGGCATATTCCTCTGGGCAAAACTTCCCCAGGACTGGGTGCTTTATAATGCCAAGGAGCTAGGCATGTGGCAGCACACAAAATAAGGTCGCTGCCTTCACAGAGCTGACATTCTGTAGAATGGTCATCAGACAGTAAAAGATCACTCCTCTAGCAACTACATTTGATTTCTATGTTAATAATCATCCCCTCTCCCTGTTTATGACCCTAATTCGTACAGTGCTTTCACCTGTGACAGAGACAGGTGTCCACAGCTACACCTGATCCCTAACTCTTGTGCCTTCCACTACCAAAATCACTGTGACATAACAGAAAGGGCATAGACAGGCACTAGAAGACTCAAGTCTAGTCCTGACTCTGCCAGGTACTAGCTGCAGGACTTGAACAAGCCTCCATTCATCATTGTGCTACAGCCTCATATGCAAAAATGAGCGGGCTGGTCCAGAGGGGATCCTGGTGAATGTTTAACAACTAGCGTTCTGGAAGGAAAAAGCCTTCTTTTGTAGCATTTGCTAAAGCCTGGGCATCCCTCTTGGGAGAATAAGGCTTCTTATAGATGTCAGCTGGCCATCCTTCCAACCATAAATCGTCTTGCTGCACTCCAAATATTGTCATTCTGCCTGATTTCAAATACTGTCACAACACACAGTATTGCTACTGACACATACAACACATAACCAGCCTCAAGTGTAGATGACAGTAAAGGGTAGTAGGTAATTAGATAGTGATAGATTTTGAGTATTTATTACCATTACTTTGAATAGAATTTATTTAACTCTAAGCACCTAAGTTAATTTAAATCATGGCCATGTTTTATAACCTCACAAAATTCCTGAAAATGTAACAACTGGTTCTTAGGAACAGGTGTGAACCAGGTCCAACTCCACCATCTGGACCAGTGATCCACAGAGGTCCTGCCAGCCCTTGCATTTTGCCGTGATGCTGAAGCCCCCACACTGAAGCATTGCTCTTCCCCCAGCTGCCAGCTACTTCATTCAGATGAGAAGAAAGACTGCACCTGGGCAGACCCTGGACTCGCCATTTTGTAAGGCCATCAAGACCCCTTTCCATGAGCACTTTCTCCAGGAAGGATAGAAAAGAAAGCCCCTTCTCTTCTTATTCAATAGGGTTTATTCTCGGCCCATTAGCATGTTCAGCATGGTCAGGTAATCATGATAAAATTCTCTTATTTATTCCTTGAACAAAACCATCCCATCTTGCTTAATTACATCAAGTCAGATTCCCCCATATGGGATCTAAAACCCAAATAGAATGTCCTGGTTGGAGGGGCTAACCTTAACAGTCTCTTGAATCTCAGCTATAATAATGACTCAACATCCTGAGCTCAGAGAAAAGTCACCAGGAGAAGTTTCACATACACATTAGCATTCTACCAGGGGTAGAAATAGAAGAAAAATTGAGGAAAAACTTTAGTGTAAAGGCTTGGCCATTTTGCACACAGAGCAAAGCAGTGACAGATATGAGGCGAGTGCCTACAAAGTCTTTATTCACTCCATGAACTCCTATCTTCAAGTATTAATTGCTGCAGCCGGAAAACAGGCTCAAATCCCACAGGAATCCATTAACCTTGCACATAAGAGGTATCTAGCTGATTGCCTTAATTTTAATAATCCATCAGCTTCATTTCAATCATCCCCCTAAGTTCAACTACAATTTTAAATTAGACTAAACATATGTGTAGTCATACCAGAATATATAAATGCATCTTTCATCAAAAAATGGCACCAAATATGTTCATTTCTAGTTTCAAGAGGGCAGCTGATAGTAATTGCACAAGTACTCTGGATAAAATTTTAGACATTCAGCAATTAAGTTCTTATTAGAAAAAAAAATTAAGGTTAATAACATAGAAGTTCTCGGAAAGAAAGTGCTCTAACCACCCAACGTATTGTTTCGAAATTCCTTTTACAAGATTTATTACAAGTTTGAGGAAAATTTCTGAAGGGTGGGGGCAGAGGCGCCACTTGTTCCTTTCCATCTTTAAAATAAAGTTTTTGGCTTCATTTTATTGGAAAAGGTTAAGAAAATAAACATGCTCTTATTTATTCACATTCTAATTCATTTTGTAAAAATAAGGCAAAAACGTTATCCAAAAGACATAACTTAAACAAAAGAAGTTTTCATCATAATAATGAAGAAAAGGTAGAACATCACTTTGTCAAAATTTGTCAAAAGGTAGTACATCATTTGTCAAAATATTTCAACACATGCAAAGTGTGATAGGACATGAGTTCACACACATACCTAAAAGTTTACCTACAGGTTCTCATTTTCATCTGAAATAAAAATCTCATTACATTAAATAATCTTGATTTATCTGATCAGCGATTTAAGGAAGTAACTATTCAAAGTCTTCCAAGTTCATTCTTTCCATCCACAAAGTTTCAATGTTAATTCCTGGGGAACTTGTAAGCAAGGTTAGGGAATTTCTAAGCTGTCTCCTTTTTGGAAGGCAAATGTCAGCACAGAGAAGTGAGTCTATACAGAAACTCAACTTTGAATCATCACGTTTTCCAAAATACAACTTTCTTTTGACAGCACTGCTATGGCTTTTTTTTTTTTGAAAAGGAAGACCTATTGGCTGTTCCCCACTAGAGTAAGATGGGAGTACCCTATTCTTATCAGTTCAGAAAAGGTTTACCATTCGGGGTGTGTGCAGAGAAAGCACGGACATCTGTAGCTTTGTCTAGCTCGCCGGGCATGCTGAAATTTTCTTTTGAATACCAACAATTGTAAAATAATACTGCTTCCCTTGTTTTCAATTTCAGCTGCTCAGGCACAATTGGAGCACTGGCATGCCCCTCAAAGGAAATCCTTTCTGGAGAACAAGGCTTCTCGTGGATGTCAGCTGGCTACCACTCCAACCATAAATTGTCTTGCTAGAATACAATTCTATACCAAGCAGAGGCCAGCCAAGTGAACAGTGATTCTAAAGGACATATAGAAAAAGGGCTATTTTGAAAGTGAGGTGTCCACCCCATTTATGCAACTTTGCTGTTAAAATACATGTTGCATCAGGAAGAGTATGGATAAACATGAAAATGTATCTATGATCCTAGCTTAAGTAAGCATAGCAAAATATGAAATGATCTGTGTACTATAAAGGCAGTCAATAAAATCAGGATGCATAAGGACAGAAATTAGGCACAAAGAAAAGAGCTGTATGTGGGAGTGGCAGGCTTACGTGTGGCTCCTCCTACCCCACCCAAATATTCCTTGACATGTTCCTTTCCCCCCTCCCCCAGTTAAAAAATAGGAAAAAGAAACTTATCTAGAAAAAAATGAATGACACTGTTTGAGGTCAGCCACAGGAAATGGAGTCCGAGGAGCTATGCCTCAACAAATTCATTTTAGGTTGCCTATATTTTTAAACATGTAACATCAAATTAATTAACTTAAAAATGAGCATTACAATGATCACATAGATCAGAATTCTGAAAACTGCAAGTCTCTCCTTGCAGAAAGGATTAAGGGGAAGCTGACTGCAAGCAGAGAGATTTGGGGAGCAGGACCTGAAAGGGGTGGTTTAATATCTGCTTTTGTGGCATTGATCTACCAGGGTCTGGACATGCCTGATGGTGGTAGGGCTGCTGTCCAAAGAGGGTGAGTCCCCTTTCCAAGGTATCAATAAAAAACAAAGAATAACTAAGTAGCAAGGACCCTCCACCCCGCCCCGCCCAGGCCTGTCCCTAGGCATCCAGAGGTGCAGGTTTCCCTTTGCATGGAGAGAGGTGTGAGTTGACTCTTTCCAGCTCAGGCTTAGGTCACAAACAGAAAGGCCACCTTAAAACCAGCCTTCAGGCCACACCACACAGGGGTATGGGGGTCACAGAATTCAAGCTTTGGCAAGTCTTTTACTCCTCACAGTATAAACACTTAGGGTTGGGAAAACCCCAAATACATAAAATTAAGAATATTTTCTCGGGCCTCCCTGGTGGCACAAGGGGTTAAGACGCAACCTATGAAGCTAGCTGCAGTCACTGCAGCATGAGTTCAATCCCCTAGCCAGGGAGCAACCCACATGGCGCAGCAGACCTCTCCTGACTGTCTGCTGCTCCCCTCAGCAGTATATTTCGGTCAGTCTGCCTGTTCTGTTTCCCACTTTGTCTCTGGTGAATCCTCTCACCCCTCTGTATCCCAGTTCTTGTATGCATAAATAAATAAATATTTTTTGAAAAAAGAGTATTTTCTCTTCAAGGTCAAAATTAAGTAAAGCCCGTATCAACATGCTGCTTCTTATCATGATTTTCTCATACAACAGATATCTTTCTCTCTGAGCTACTTCTTGGGAGTCCTCTTGCTCCTTTTTCTTACCATTTGCAAATAATTTACATGGAGGCCCTCTAAACAAATAACCATGCCCCATCCACTTAAAATGTTTTCATATAAAGCTAATGTAGTTATTCAATTAGCACTAGAGTAACAGATCCTGAGCTTTAAAATAAATGTGTTCTTTCTAAAATAACTAAAAACTATTCAATGAATCTATGTTATCATTATATTTTCTCAGCTTCCTGAGGTGAGTGTGTGTGCTGAAACCTATCACCAAGACTCTGAGTGTGGGGTAAGGAAGACATGGGAATAGAAGCAGAGTTGCTTAGAGTAAGGTTCACGGGTTTGCAAAGAAATAAAACAAACAAACAAAATTAACCCAGTTACCACATGCCTACTTGTTTTGTCTCTCTGCACAGGGAGTTACCAAGTTGTGATTCACATTCATTTTTGAGACAATACATTTGCAAGACAGTAAAATAATAAATATTGCATCTGTCTTTTAAAACTTTATCATTGAATAGAAAATGCAGATTTTGATTGCATCCAAGCCAAGGCCCAGGCCCAGAGACTGAAGTTTTCCTGCACGTCCTCCTCTAGGCATGCTCATTAAGCCACAGTACATCC